GTAATGATTTGTGCATAGCAGGGTAGTGTATATATGGGGACGGGAAATTGAATTGTCTCCGATTTGTACGAGTAAATAAATCCTGATGCTACAATTCAGTATTTTTTCTTGTTCTGTTTGATTAGTTCACCCACTGTTAAGCGGGATTCTACCAGGAAAAAGAAAAAGGGCTCAAGCTGTTCGGATTTTGAAGGAACTAAATTCCTACTCCAAAATAGTAAAAAGAAAAATAAGAGGATGGTTTGTGATTTTATAATTCTAGACGTGATGAACCCTCACTCTTTTCTTTAGAGCATGCTCAAGTAAAGTTGATACTCATAATATGCAATGTACAGATATAAGAGGCTTTATATGTGGCAGACACAGTGTTTTGAAGTCAGCAACTCAACCTGGCAGAAGTAGGTCTCTGAGCTGAGGAATTTGGAGTTATAATTAGAATCAATTATGTTCGTTTATATCTTAGATTAGATTAGGCTTATCTTTATTAGTTATATTCAATTAAATTACATATTAGGCTAGGAAGTAAAACTATATAAATAGCCAAATAAAAAAAAAATGAAATCAAACACCTTCAGAAATTTTCTGAAGGACATGTGATGCAATCCAATTGGGATGGTAGAAATTAAATGTCTTGCATTCAAATAAGGATCTACATAACTAGATGGGCACAACTAGATTACTAGATGGGGATCTCATCTATGTAGACTATATGGATAACTTAACATATATTTTTATGGGCTAGTAGCACAAGTTAGACTGGAGAGAAAGTTTGGTCGCAGTAAATTAAGTTAGCATCTTAAATCAAAAATAGATTATGTGGATGGCTTAGTATATGTTTTTATAGATCAATGGAATATGTTTAGCCTAAAAAAAGTTTGGTCAAGCTAGATTAGGTTAGCAGCTTAAAATAAGAATAATAGAAGATCCAACTATTAGGTTGAGCTTAAATTTGTTTAGGTGATGCTACAAACAATTTTTTTAGGGTTTGTTGAATCTCTTGGGATTAGGAATTAGATTTATAATGTTGTTTAGAACAATTTTGTTATTTTTTCTATTTTTTATTTTTGAATTTATTGTTTAATTTAGATTTTTGTTTTAATTCCTTGGTGCTTTCGGATTTTGTTATTGGTAGGTTTTCTGACCTATATATAGATCTTGCAAAAACTTCAAGGAGACATTCTTCAGTAGTTCTATTTTCAGACGAATAAATGTTGAATGTTGAATTTATATCTATACCTCTTTTTACTCATTAAATTTGTTGTGTTTTCTATGTTGTTATTCTTATACCTTCAGTCTGCATCATCAACATGTGTGTTATTCTCATACCTTCAGTCTGCATCATCAACATGTGTACAGAAGTATGGAATTGAGGTGAGAGTCTTCCTCCCTGCTCGGTGCTGGCTGTCTCGTTCCTATTCCCAGTCTGCCTCGGGCGCGGCATTCTTGCAATACGTGAGGACATAAGACCTGAGCAGCTAATGATTAATTTTCATATTTTGAGGATGTTTTATTTTACCAATTGTTTTGAAAAATCACAGCATTCTGATTGGAGATTGCTTTAGTAGTATCAAATATTTTAAGACAAACAAAAGTTGAGAATTATCTTAATAGGATGAACCACGAGTATATCCCCCCTTTTTTTTTTGGTAAGCAACGAGTATATTCCTTGCTACAACCAAAATTGAAGGAGATGCATAGATGGAGATTTGACATCTTGTTTCTGGTACTGCAGAATTCCATCTCAACTGTATATTTACTGATTGAAATGTGCCATTTATCTCTAATATTTTGGAAAGAAATCTTACTCTATCATTGTAAGTCCTGATCCCTAAGCTTTCAACAGTGCAAGCAGACCTGCTCAAGCTAAGTTCATCCCAAGATCTTTGATTATTCTTATTATAATATTTATTTAATTTAATTTTTTAGATTTACAAGGATTAGTTTAGTATAGTGTCCTAATCCTAATTGGATTTTTTAGCCATGTAACTTTCAATAAGGAATCTAATCCTTTTCCTATATAGTTCATAGAATTAATATAAATAGAGACGTATAGCTTATTTTTTTTATTGAAGATTATTAAATTTCAGACTTTTCTGAAAAATATCAGATTCAAGCGTCATTTTATCTTGGTATGCTAGCCACAAGCATACCGGTTCACTGCAATTTTTAAACGTGAAATTTCAAGAACTGAAACTCTTTCAATAATATATAACCTTAGGAAGGGAGGGCAGATCAGCCATGCTTCTGAGGACCAATCAACTTGGGACAATTTCTTGATGTAAACTAACGTAGTTTGGGAGATACTTCCTTAGCATTATCACCAAGACCATTTCTCACTTCCTGGCATACCTTCAATCATAAGAGTCTCTAGCGTTGAATTAATTAGTCTCAGCACGCACTTCCTTCACCTCATCAAAGGCATTTATGCTCAAGTACTGTCAGAGTACCATTGATGGTAAATATGTGACTTTAAGGCAATCATAAAGCTTTAGCTCTACCATTTTAGCGAAAGAAGAATCTCCTATCCACGGAGGAAATACCGTGCCACCATATGTTGTAACAGAAAGCTTTTTGAGACTTCAATGAGGTCGTAATGAATCGAGGACTTGCAGCTCATCCCTTTCACTTCGTGAATCATCAAAATTATGAGACCATTCTAACGTTAACTCACTAACAAACTGAGCGAGATCATGCATTATATATCTTGAGTTGTCTCAGATAACCAAGGCCCAAATCTTCTTCTTTGCTGTCTCCGCTAGACTTCAGATAACCAAGGCCCAAATCTTCTTCTTGCTTGCTTTCCTTTGGTTTGGTTGTTGTATCCCTCCATGGTAAAACAACTCATTCACGTCAAATTCATATTCTCTTTGGAAAACTCAGTCTCTGAGCCGGAAATATTAGTGGAGTACTTAATGTTATTGTTTTTTTAAATTATGGGCTCTGGGTTCGACTTCAGTATAAATGGCATTGTGACACGACTAAAAGATTGATGTCTTCTCCCAAGTGCAGGAGTGTCGAAGTAAAAAATAACCCGGCAAGACCGGGGTCGAACCACAAGGAGGTTAAGTGTATAAATTATAGATGACAACAACAACAACAACAACAACAACAACAACAACAACAACAACAACAACAACAACAACAACAACAACAACAACAACAACAACAACAACAACAACAACAACAACAACAACAACAACAACAACAACAACAACAACAACAACAACAACAACAACAACAACAACAACAACAACAACAACAACAACAACAACAACAACAACAACAACAACAACAACAACAACAATAATAATAATAATAATAATAATAATAATAGTAATACTAATAATAATAATGAATCTGCAAATTGAAATCCCTGGAGCTGAACAAATAATAAAACTAGACAGGGAATTTCTTGCTATGTTTTTTTTTCCGCTTAATTACTATTTCATGCTAGCCCAATACTCCTTAGGAATACTACGATTAGTTCATGCTCTCAAAGAGGAGAGTTATGAATTCCTGATCCTTGTAAAAACTATACAGGAACAGTTTCTGAAACATGAAACAGATAGCAGTCTGTTATGTGTGGACATAAATGGTCTGTGGCAATCATGGTTGGTGGCAGCTATGGTTGACATGGTTATAGTTAAATGGTGGGTGCCTAACCAAAGAAAATATTGTCCACCATTGTTGAACAATTGTCTCCCTCCTCAGCTATAAATAGAGGGTGCATTGATAGCTGATATAGAGCACGAAATAGAGAGAAACACACAGAGAGCTAAGGGTGAGAGTTGAGTTGAGTAGAGAAGTTTTTTCTCCTCCTCCTTGTTTTGTTGTTTGTATTGTTTTGAGCTTGATTAATACAAACCAGTAGCTCCGTGGAATAGGCAAGTTGCCGAACCATATAAATTTATGTGTGTTTAAATGTTTGGATCTCCTAACACAGTCAGTTTATTAAAACCAGGCACCGGAGAGATCTAATGCCAAAATTCTGCAACTTTACTTGATTTAGATGATTGGGCACTTAATAAGAATTTAGCATTCATTTGTTTGTAAAGATTCCTAAAAAAAACATAAAAAAAACCGAAGAATCGGAAACAATAAATGAAATCTGAAAATAATGATGAAAATCACAAAAAGGGTTAAAATCAGTGCCTCAGAGCAAAATTTTTGAAACAGCAAAATTTTTGAAACCTAAAGATCTGGGTAGCCATTGTAGGGAAACAACCTTTAAAAAATTCTGTAAAAATTTAAATGTGATTCAACAGTTAAATCAAAAGTTATATTTTTTTTTATCTATCATTCTAGTCTGACATAACTAAACTTATTCTTAGACATAACTTGTCTCATTATTCTGTAAATATATTTGCTAAATCATTTACACTTGATTATTCAAAATCATCCATTATTGCAAGCTCGGCTGCATTTACTTCCCACCTCTCTGAAAGCTTTGGTGCACTACGAACATCAAAAAAAAACACGTGTATGAAATGCAACCTGCTCGCCAATTTACAATGCTTGCAAATGCTTCCCTACCAAGTAAATTTAGTAAACAAAACAAAAAGGTTGATGACATGAAACATACAACAGTTTCTAAGAATAAAATGTTGGAAGAAACTACAGCGAAAATTCTGCAACAATGTCGGCATGAGAACAGGCATATAAAAAAAATTCTCATAATGACTTTATTATTAATATGATCAAAAACAATTTCTCAAAATAACCCAAACTATATAAAAAAAATTTTGCCGGAAAAAAGATTTTGTAGTGACGTCAATAAAATACATATAAGAAAATCCAAAAATGGATGATTTTCCGTGAAACATGCATTTGCTTTATTTGAACGTGAAGGCACAAAGTATTCTTTTTCTCTTTTTAATTTTCCATATTTTTCTGTAAATCCCCTTCCATTCATGGGGCTTTCCAACTCCTAATTTATGTTTCCGCACATAAACATGCTTATAAAGAAGTAAGCATTGAAATACGGTGTAGATTCATGTGAATTATACTACCTTTTCTTGAGTGCTACGGTCGTTGTTGTTAAGTGGAACGAACTCAGGATCGACTCTGAACTCCTCTATCATCCATTCAGTTTCAGTTCCATTAGGTGAGCTTCCTTGATAGAAATTCAGAGTCTTTACATAACCAACAACTTTTTCCTCCCATGTGATCGGGCCAGCACCTTCGGGATCGATTTCATAGTAGCCACCATCTAGTGCAATAGTGTTATTATCCTTGCTTCTAGTTGAAAAGAAAAACCACTCGTTGGGCACCCCGCCCTTAAAATCATCTAAATATTCATTACACAAGTTAGATTTTAAAGCATATAACTTAATCATGTAATGTAAATTATGTTGACATCGTTCATGCTGAAGTTGCAACTAAGTAATGGTGTAAACATGATAGTGTAATGGGAAACATTAGAAGATAGATCAACTAGAAGTATAACAGATAAAGCACTAGCAGTTTAGTGTTCAGACTAAAACATCCTAATTAAACTAATACTCCAGCATAATCTAATCTAATGTCCAGCTATGTGGCATGTAATTGGTTCTTTGGTGATTTCATATACATGGGTCATTGGAGATTCAAACCGCCAAACCATAAACATGTCTGAAGATGGTGTCTGGTTATTGACTCGGGAGAAAAAGTTGAGACAGAGCAGACGTGTTCATGCTCCCGTAATCGTGTTTTGTTTTGAAAGGAAATAAATTCACTTCAAAATAATTTTTAATCTGGTATCTATCTTACCCCTTCTTCAACTAAACATGTTTAGCTCTGTTTTGTATGCCTCACTTTTGACTTTTTTGATTTAAGATGTTCAAGCTTAATTAACTATAACCAAACATGCATAGTCAATCACGTGTCAAAAAAGGAAAATCACAAAAACAAAAACGGTTAAAATCAGTGCCTCATAGCAAAATTTTTGAAATCTAAAGATCTGGGTAGCTATTGTAGGGAAAACATTTTAATTTATCATTCTGGTATGACATAAACAAACTTATTCTTAGACCTAAACTTGTCTCATTACTCTATAAATATATTTGCTAAATCATCTACACTTGATTATTCAAAATCATCCATTGCAAGCTCGGTTGCATTTACCTCCCACTTCTCTGAAAGCTTTGGTGCACTACGAGCATAAAAAAAACACGTGTATGAAATGCAACCTGCTCGCCAATCTACAATGCTTGCAAATGCTTCCCTACCAAGTAAATTTAGTAAACAAAAGAAAGGTTGATGACATGAAACATACAACAGTTTCTAAGAAAAAAATGTGGGAAGAAACTACAGCAAAAATTCTGCAACAATGTCGGCATGAGAACAGGCATATAAAAAAAATTCTCATAATAACTTTATTATTAATATGATCAAAAAAAATTTTCTCAAAATAACCCAAACTATATAAAAAAAATTTTGCCGGAAAAAAGATTTTGTAGTGACGTCAATAAAATACATATAAGAAAATCCAAAAATGGATGATTTTCCGTGAAACATGCATTTGCTTTATTTGAACGTGAAGGCACAAAGTATTCTTTTTCTCTTTTTAATTTTCCATATTTTTCTGTAACTCCCCTTCCATTCATGGGGCTTTCCAACTCCTAATTTATGTTTCCGCACATAAACATGCTTATAAAGAAGTAAGCATTGAAATACGGTGTAGATTCATGTGAATTATACTACCTTTTCTTGAGTGCTACGGTCGGTGTTGTTAATTGGAACAAACTCGGGATTGATTCTGAACTCCTCTACCATCCATTCAGTTTCAGTTCCATTAGGTGAGCTTCCATGATAGAAATTCAGAGTCTTTACATAACCAACAACTTTTCCCTCCCATGTGATCGGGCCAGCACCTTCAGGATCGATTGCGTAGTAGCCACCATCTAGTGCAATAATGTTATCATCCTTGCTTCTAGTTGAAAAGAAAAACCACTCGTTGGGCACCCCGCCCTTAAAATCATCTAAATATTCATTACACAAGTTAGATTTTAAAGCATATAACTTAATCATGTAATGTAAATCATGTTGACTTCGTTCATGGTGAAGTTGCAACTAATTAATTAATTT